TAGGGTTAATTTAACTTGGAAGCGGGTTGGGAACCTGGGCCATAAAGAAAATGAAAAAGAGAATGAAAAAATGAAAACAATGTGGGGGAAAATGGTCCTTAAACACCACTCGCTCACTGCTGCCCCTTGGGTCGATTCCCCCCCCCCACGTCCTTGTTCAACCTGTAATTTGACGGTCTCTAATTTAACCTATCCTCCTTTCCTTCAGTTAATCGAGAAATTCTTGTGAGCGCTGGTAAGGGTCGAGAAATCTTATTAAATACTTTATCAGCTCAATGTGTGAATATTTCTGTCCTTCCTGTGGTATACCACTGCCTCATTCCTTTATACGGTCCCTCCCAGTGACCTGATTACGACCCTTCGTTGAATATTCTTCACAGCTAATGTCCCGTGTTTCAGACACACTTTCTTTGGACCTTGCCGGACCACCTGAAATGCCTCGAAAGTGCCCTCAAAGCTCATGCTCTAGTGCTATTCAGCCAACAACAATGGAAACAACTCTATCGGTAAGTCGGAGCTCGATTGATACAGTACTCTACCAATAAGGTAATTACCAGTTGTTATAGGTTGCTGGAAACGCACAAGTTCAGCCCACATAATCATCCAGTACTACAGGATCTATGGCTACGAGCTCACTACACCGAGGTAGGCAACTTTTCAATTGCTATTGATTTTTCAGAACTACCGTAACCCTTTAGAGGGCTCACTTTCTTCGGTAAATATTACGCAATATAAACCGAAGTGTATGTGTGTATATTTGCAAAAAATGGGTGCAAATAAACGTAAGGGGACCAGCACACTTGAGAAGGCGTATTTTTATTTATTTATGTAACCCTATTTGTAAATAAGCTTGTGAAGCTACCAAAATCTACATATGTACCGGAAAGCGCTTGACCCGCACTCGCACCTCATTTTGTAGCAAGGTTGAAACGGGAAATTATTTAGAACTTCTCGTGCAAACGTGACATTTCCATGCTATACATATTATTATTGATACGGTTTATTGTTATTTTTCCACTTGTTATATTATTTCCATACAAGGCACGTCGCATTTTGGGAATCCCCGACGGGAGTAAAATTTTGTCGCTGTATGGGAAGAGGGGGAAGTCGTAATTGACATGGAAAAATTTTGTTTTATTGTTTCTGTTTCTCGCGTACTGTATATCCTCTTTTAGGTGGACGCCCACGGGGAACTAGTATTACTGGTAGTTGCACGGAGGCGTCTACTTCCACTCCCCCCCCCCACCTCGAATCCTTTTACAGCAGATTTTTGGGTAAGCTTGTGAGATGACTGTTGTGGAAAAGAAGTCGTATGTATCTAACATTCTTCTCAATACCAGCTCGTGTCCCGTTTTTATGAGATAGGGGTTAAGAAGTAGCAAAGTGCGCCGCTTAGCGTGCCAAACTTCTCTGGGTTGAATTAGTGGTTGCACGCGGGCCAAGCGAACCTTTCACTCTCTCTGGGTCGGTCAAAGGGTACCAAACCTATCTGGCAGGAAAAAAAAACACCGACAAGTCCGTTGGCTCGTGAAATTTGCAGCATAATCCGAATTCCCTAAAAATGCCACCACAGCTCTGAGCTTAGGTGGATTGCGTGGCTCATCCCAAAAGAATCAATCCTCGCTAAAAGCTTCACCGCGCTAGTTTAAAACCCGGTTCGAATAGTGAAAGTACCACATGGAGTGAAGCAGCAGAATTACATTTTTCGAGAGGTAGGCTCTGCACCGAAGAAGAAAGTCGGGAACAAATCAAAATTCTAAGGCCGCGTTCATACTACGCCTCTTAATGAACGTCAACGAGTCTGCGTCGCGGGATTCACGATCAAGGCCCGCGCACCAAGCCAGTCGTTGACTCAAATTCCGAAAAACTCTGTGCCGAATGTTTTGGTGCTGCAACCGTGACGCGTGAGCGCGACTTGGTCGAAAGGCCGTTTGAGCCAAATTCCTCTGCCATCGAATCGCTTCAAGAAGCTAACCAGTACGTAACCGTGATATAGGCTGCCCAATGTCCCCGCGTTGGCTATTCCGTCCATGCGTCTAATGGTATGTTGTCTACATAGTCTTATGAAGACTTGCTGATTCTAGGCGTAAAATATTATTGCCTCTTTTCCAATGGATTAGCGAAATTACTCAACTGTCAGGAACGTCCAGACTTCTGATCTGCGCAGAATCTTCGCAGTTTTCTTATGGTGACCTGAGTTTAGTTCCTGTACTATCGGTTTGGTTCTTGGAAGCGGCGTGTCAACCTTCCAAAAGCAGCTCATCTCATTTGTTAAGGGTCATAGCGTCAAGGAGTGTCTGCCTGTGTACAGCAACTGTTACAATCTTCAGGCGAGCATCTTCGAGCGCTGCATCCCGGAGTTCTTCGTAAATTTGTAGGAGACGACATTGCTGAACACCAGAGCGACATTGAAGGAATTGAAGGCTGAACAGTGACTGCTCGGTTGACGTGGGCGTAGCCTACGGTCTCATCCTGCCCACAAAACCATTGTCTTCCCGACTAATTCATTCGCGAGACCACCTCTATAAAGTGCAAAAAGCACTTTTCCATTCAGGTGACGTACCCGTTAAATATGCCTCGCCTGGGTTACACTTGTAGGGTTGCTGTACTGGCGACGAACCGGCGACTATTCTTGCGACGGATTTGGAGTAGTGGGCACCAAGCCAGTAGCAGCGCCAACCTCGTGAAGATCTGCAACATGTCCTGAAGCAGAGAGCGCCTCACGTATAATCCCATTCACTATACCAGTTCGCATTTGCACAGGAGTTTCCCACCAGAGCGTAACCTGCCAATTCACATCAAACAGTAAGACGAACTAGCAAGATGCCCCTTCCATACCAAACAATGCCGAACTGGCTTTCAGCTCCTATCCCATGTTTGGGCTTTTTTTTGTCGTAAAGCCTGTAAAATCATTTACACATTTATCATTGAAGATTACGTCATCATTTCCACCACTGTATCGAAACTGATTTCACATTATTTAGCTCTCATTTTATTGATGCTACCTTATTCATTTACCTTAGAGTCTATGGTTTCTGAAATTCATCAGGAATGGAAAAAAATCAAATATCGATTGGAGATTCGTTGAAATTTTACAGCATGCTAATATCCATTAACTGTTTTTGGAGGGTTGCAGTTGAAAGAATTAGTACACAGTCGGAATGGAGTAATGCGGAACCCGTTTCTGCACAGAAGCCTAGGTTCGCACACCCTGGCCCTGCTTCCTTCCAGGCCAAAATCTCATTGAGGTGAGCCTAGCGGTGCACAGGGAGTCCTTCGATTGCCCCCTCTAGCCGTCTTGCGTCCTCTTACTCAACTTAAAGGGAGAAGCTCGTTTTTTATAAACATTCAATCACGGGGGGTGATGATTTTGTCGAACGGGAATGTTGTGATAGGCGTGGAAGTGCAAAAGCTACTCACGTTCAGTGGTCCCACCATTATCATCCTTTATCACCATTATCATTCAATATCACTTAGAATTACTAGTTTTCAACTTTCTGCGATTTCACACTATAAAATGTACGATCATTAAGGCTGAGAAGACGAAAGAACGCGAACTGGGCGCCGTATGCAAATACCGTATTCGAAAGAAGAACCCGTTCCCAGCGACCATTTGGGATGGAGAAGAGACGAACTATTGCTTCAAGGTGAACAATTCCCAGTTAAAGTATTCTCAAACTCAGACTAATTATTTTTATTGATTTTTTTCAGTCGAAATCACGTAATGTTCTTCCGAGATGCATATAAAAAGCAGGCTTATCCATCAGTAGAAGACAAAAAACGACTGGCAGCTCAAACGGAACTCACCGTCACACAGGTTTCCAACTGGTTCAAGAACAAACGACAACGTGAACGAGCTGCTGGCACGTTGGAGAAGTGAGTAGCCTTTTGGTTTGGGGGAAAGCGCTCATTTGATCACATTGCCGTTGGCATGTCATGTCAGATAATGTACGCGTATACCAAGTTGGATAACTCGTCCGACTCAATAAACTATAAGGTTGTTGTAATTGACAGCCTACTCGGAGCCGTGAGTACTGGCTTCGGTACTTAGGCTTTTGAACCAGGCCAACCCCTTAGGATCACTGAGGAAAAGCATTGCACTTTTAGAAGAGTTGCTCTAGTTTCGGAAGAGTCTTCCTTTTCGGAAAACGAGTTGCCTGACAGAATTGGGCAGATCGGCCGGGAAGCGATCGCTCCAAACCGCATGCTTCTGTTTTAAGGACCTTTTGAGAGCTAGGAACAGCCAGTCAGCCACCATTTCAGTTGCTCTGAGAGGTCAACGCCTGTTTGCACTTGGTATGAGAAGGTTGCTGCTTAAGTGCCTATACTATGATGTAATCGAACCTAGGGTTCTGTTTGGATTAGTGCACAGATCATTGACTTGAACGCGCCCAAAGTCACTCCTGCGTGGAAAAGTAAGTGGGAACGCTGCTAACCGTTGGTATATTGTATTTGGGGAACAACTGGGCTTCTGCGCGTTCAGCTAGGCAGCCTTCGTAGCTCAAGACTCCCTTGCCGTTCCTAAAAATGTGATAAGGGAGTTTGAGAGCGATCTTACCGCAATCTTTTTGGCGTTAATTCCTAAGAGGGAGCAACTGAGGACGCTCTGCGCGAAATTGTGGTCAGCATAATGCGAATACATTTACCTTACTGGAATTTGGTTCACCTATCCCAGAGATCCTTCCCACTTTAGGATTCGTCATCTAGGATTCTCAGAGCCTTTATCCATTCCCACTGAGACACAGTGGGCCTTATTTGATAGGCTACCCTCCTTTTTCCGAAGCCACACTAGCGGTGAAGCGGTGGACGATCAGAAGGTGTCCGCGAATCCCTTTGAATTGCGAGGTTAATTGGAACTTTTCGTCTGTACCCTTTAAGCACTCTCTTCACGTGAAGCAGAAATTTCGCGTTTGACTAAAGTGACTTCCTCTATCCCTCCCAACCTGCCAAAAATGCCCTTGACACCTGTGAACTTGTAAAATCCTGAAATGCAACGAACTTCTAGGGGCATTCTTGTGGGAACCTGTGAATTTCTTTTGACTCCTGCATCTTAACAGGTGTTTACGGGGTTTCGCAGAATGCCCTCCTCGTAGCCTAATTATGCAGTAATTTTTCTCAGAACATCTGAATTTCTGGGTGCAGTTCGGTTCAGTGAGGGCATCGAAGGCTCAGCTAAGTCCGTACAAGTCACCTTGCGATGACCTGTAAAATCCTGTGACTCAAATGGCTCACGCACAATTGCAAGATTTCACAGGTAAAACTATCAAAAGTGAAAATTGCCCCTCCAAGCCGAACAGCGCTAATTTTTGTATATCCAACTCATTTCAAGAGTTTATTTCCTCCAGTTTTCTTGTGAAGGGCACCCAGGTACCCACTAAACGTAAACATGGGTAGGGTAAGCAAATAAACAAATCATCTGCGTTGATCATTCTCTTTGCCACGCGTCATGTGTCAACTACATATTCAATCAAAGTAGCAGTCCTGCATCAACGGGTTTCTTCGGATGGGGGGGGAAGGTGTATTGTAGCTGTTTTCACCCACCACTGGAAAAGAATTCCATTGTCACAACAAAAGAATAAAGAGATAGCAATGACTTTCAGGTAGAAAAGCTCAACTCTCTAACCGTAGTCTGGGAGGGCTCCAGACGGCTCCGTTCTTCAGACCACTGATTCATTTTATCAATTCTCCGAGCGATTTCATGGATTCAACACTGCCAGTTGAGAGTGGGGGGGGGTGCTGGGTGATGCACGATCTTGTTATGTGAATATGTGGGGCGTGTCAGCGAAGGTTCAGGGTTCGGTGCAGCGCCAGCCATTTCTCTACCAATTGCTGAAGCACGACAAGCGCCAGCAATTGATGGAAAACAGGTTGGCACTGCTCCAAACACTGCCCCGCCCTTGACACAGAACAGCATGCGCAGCGAATAAGACGTTACTTCAGTCCATGTGGCAAGTTGAACCCATGGTCAGGTAAACACTGACTGAGTTTGTAATGGTTGCTGGGTTTATGGTTAACGCAAGATCCTGACCCTGGCGAAACCAGGAAGGTGACCGTAGCACCGCCGTGTCCCATTTCCCTTTGTCTGTGGTTTTCCAGGCCTCGCGGTGGTCACTTTAGCGCAGGCTAATTGTGCTCAGTGCTCCAGACTCCAACAACGCTGATACTCAGCTGGCGCTAATAACCTTGGGAGACGGGGCACCCGTCGGCTCCTAGTTCAAGATTCCCTCTCAAAGTCTCCTACACTGGTCTTCGGAGGGTTTTCCAGTCGAAGCTCAAAATGAGGTCTGTGGGTTACCTCCCGGAGTATCCTAAAAGTTTGGCATCGGCCTTCTTCCTTGGGCTCGTTGGTGACTGCTTTGTTTTTTTCCGTTTCCCCAAGCATTCCTGCAACATGCTGATTGACATCGATACCGTAACCCTCATCAGTCGCACTCAAGCTTGCGATCGATCACTCTGACACAGCGCGTGTTTGTCAGGCGTCTGACAACCAACCACTTGTTTCCTGAAAACCCGAGGAATTGCTATTGAAACCATACTGTGGGATAAATGGCGTAAAACTTTGTAGCTTAACTGCGCTGTTAATTATAGTAAAAGTGGGCACAGTTCGGCGACGGGGTGGGGCATTTTGCACTTTTGCTACTTCCCATCGACGTGTCGACCCATCTAGAGAGCCTTTTCTTGAGTTGACAGGTTTACCATGATGGCTCGACGAGCTTGCTCCAGCTTCACAAGAGTTCACAGGTTTCACCAGAGTGAGACTTGTGAACCGGAACTAGCGAAGCAACGAAAGTGCAAAATGTCCCCCACCCTGTTGCCGAACTGCGCCGTAAAAGTAGCTCGCTGGAAGGTCTGGAGGTTACTAAATTTGACGCTGACGGTTCTGAATTGCTACCTGCGAGGATATGAGTGAGCAGCCGGTTCCGTCTGAAATATGTAACAGCAGAGCGCGCGGCCGCAAAACGGCTACCAGAACTAAAACACCAAGAATACCAACTTCATGTTGAATGGTTTACCAGTTTACCAGCTATCTTTCAAAAACAGCTTTGGCTTCAAACGCTGATCCGATTGAACCACGGAATCCACCGCGGTCGCGACACCTCTCAAGAGGCCCCTTAAGACAACATGCTTCACCCCCTGTCCCATTGTTCCTCGTACCAAGTTTGCTCTAACCGCGGGTTCCATATGTACCGTATCCCGTGTGAACAAAGAGACATCCCAACGCGTTCCACAAAGCCAACGCAGCCACAGCTTCTTCGAGACAGTCTGATTGGACAATCCTAAAAAAGGGGGAGAGGGAACAGAGGTGATACTGTGGCCGAAACAGGTGGGTGCGAGGCGAAATGCTCCGAAAAACTGGCATTTTTTGGACTTTTCCGGAAAAAACACATCATAATAAGGACAGTAGGGAGTAATTTTTCCAGCGTGAATCAGA